CTCTAATACCATGTTGAAATGAACGAACAGGAATGATTGAACTAGCAGTGAAATCAGTACAAGTACCTAACCCTAGAATTGTGTACCCCCTATAGGCTAACCCACTGTAGCCTAAACAAGCACAACATATATAACGTTTGACATTTCCCATTACTGAACTACGGGAAAATACAGGGAGCAGCAGTGAAGATTTTTATCGTCAGGGGAGCAAGTCACAGTTTAGTTAATACCGCGACCGCACGGAAACTACAACTGACACTTAGCCGGTGTTTACCCGAGATAGATGCATGCTTAGTTGACGGCACGCCACTGGCCATACGTGAGAAGGTGGAAAGATTAAAAGTCCGCTGCGGGGGGAACTTCGGGTTTACACAGGAAATGCTCGCGACGACACTGGATGGGCATGAAATTTTACTGGGACGTGATTGGCTGCGACGGTATAACCCGCGAGTCGACTGGACGATGGGTAGCTGCACTGAGTGAAGTAGCGGTAACTGGGTTGAACTACCTCGCTGGCAGTCGCCTGAGTCTTCAACGGTCCACGTCAACGCCATCACAATGAAATGGGTTGTCGCCGCTGGAGCTGAAGTGTATGCAGTAGACATTGCAGTGGTAGAGGAAGCAGAGCAACCGAGCGATTTCAAGAAAGTGCTGACAGTAGTACCACCCGAACTACAGGAACTGTTGAAACGGTACCTGAAGATTATTTCCGACGACTTACCGGAAGGACTGCCACCTCAGCGAGCACACGACCACTGAATGTTGTTAGAACCGGGGGCACAGCCAACTGTACAGCGACAATTCAGACTGACACAACCCGAGCTCGACGAACAAAGGAAGCAGTAAGATTACATGTTAGAGAAGAAATTCATCCGACCGAGTTCGCCACCGTTCGCCGCACCGATACTGATCACACCGAAAAAAAGACTGAGGGTTTCGCATATGCATCGAATACAGAGCACTGAACAGGGTAACAGTTAAGTCGCGATACCCCATTTCCCGTGCCGACGAACTGATAGATCAGCTGCAAACAACACGGGTCTTTTCGAAAATAGATTTACGGGGAGGTTACCATCAGATTCAAGTCGAACCATTGGACTGCGCCAAGACGGCTTTTAGGACTAGGAACGGGACATTCGAGTACAGCGTGATGCCATTCGGGCTCACCAACACACCAGCGACTTTTCAGATGACCATGAACGCGGCATTTAGGCCACTTTTAGATAAATGCGAGATAGTTTACCTCGACGACATCCTCGTCTACAGTCGCGATAAGCAGCAGCACTTAGCAGATCTGGAAGCCGTATTTAAAATTTTAGACAAGCATCGGCTACTTACTAAGGGTTCCAAGTGAGAGATTTTTCAGGATAGGCTAGAGTTTTTAGGGCACGTTATTTTGGAGGCTGGGGTCGAAATTGACCCAAAGAAGCTGGACACGGTAAAAGCGTGGCACCCTCCGACGAATATCACGGAGGTGCAGAGTTTTTTGGGGTTCATAACATTACGTGCATCGGTTCGTCCCCGACATGGCACGGTTAACAGCACCACTCACATACTTACTGCGTGAGGGGGTCGTTTTACGTGGGGGGAGAAAGAGCATGCTGCCTTCTCTGCCCTGAAATTTTTTTTCTGTTCACCGCCCGTACTGCGCATCGCCGACTCACACTGCCCATTCGAAGTAGTTACAGATGCAAGCGACATCGCCATCGGATCCGTACTGCTACAAGATTTCGGCAACGGGTTACAGCCAATCGCAGAGGAGTCCCGCAAACTGCATCCGCCAGAGAAAAATTAACCGATACACGACCGCGAAATGCTCGCGATCGTGCACGCATTCAAGGTGTGGCGCTGTCTCTTGACCGGCGCATACGTGACAGTACAGACAGGCCATAAATCGCTCCAGTACCTCCGCGCACAACCCCACCTCAACCCACGACAGATCCGCTGGCTCGATTTCCTCGAGTCCGATTTTCACAACACGGTTACCAACAAAAAGGGGCATCCAACATCGCTGATGCACTGACCCGCCCCACTGCCCAAATCGACGCACTACTACTTGCCCAGACCAGCCCACTACTGACAGGACTATTTACCCACGGATACCAAACAGACCCGTTCTTCACAGGAGGGAATTCGCAGCAGCTCGCAGCAGCAAAATGAGTTTATTACGTAAGAGCCGGGACCGATCGCATCTGGGTACCAGGGTACACACTGCTACGGGAATTACTACTACATGAGGCACATGACGAAGTTACTTCAGGCCATTTCGGAGTAGAAAAAACACGGCAGCAGCTGCAGTGGTATTATTACTGGCCCGGAATGCTGACCAACGTGCACCGACACTTGGCATCATGTCCCACCTGTTAGCTCATGAAATTATCACGGAAGCGGCCGGCAGGACAGTTGCAGCCGATACCACCCCCAGAGCGTGCTTGGCAGCATGTGACGATGGACTTGGTCATGGGGTTACCGGCCGGAGCAAGAGGGAACGTCGCGATCCTGGTTGTCATCGATCGGTTGACGAAAATGGCACACTTTGCAACTTGCAAGAAATCGATTACAGCCGAAGAAACAACCCGCCTCTTCATCACCACCGTCGTTTGACTGCACGGGATACCAGCAGCAATCATCAGCGACCGCGACATGAAATTCACCAGCAACTTCTGGCGGAACGTGTGGCAGCAGTTCGGCACACGACTACAATTTAGTTCTTCTTACCACCCCGAGACTGACGGACAGATAGAATGGACAAACCAGACCATGGAGCAGCTCATTCGAGCCACATGCGACGACCCGAGCACCTGGGAACAGCAGCTGTCACTCATCGAATTCGCATACAACAACTCGCCATCCGCCACCACCCAACAGTCACCGTTTTATATGAACTACGGACAAGACCCCACAGTACCCATGACCCCAAATCCCGACAACTTGGTGCCACACGCACAGCAGTTCGCCGAAATTTTACAAGCAACACGAACCCGAGCAGCAGACGCAATTAAAAAATCAAACATCATCGCTAAACGCAACGCCGACCACCACCGCCGACCTGTCACTTACCAGCCCGAGGACCTAGTTTTACTCGACACCCAAAACCTCCGCCTGCCAATTACCCCAAAATTCCGCCCCCGGTATTGCGGACCATTTCGCATCAGCCATATGGTTACACCCGTCATCGACCACCTCCTCGTCCCTGCCGACTGGTAAGTCAGCCCGTCATTCCACGTCAGCCTGCTTCGCCCTTACGTGCCATCCACCAGCCAACTGCCTCGCAATTGCCCAGCCAGCATGGCACGAGCGCCGACCGAGCCAATCATCACGTCCGAGAAGATTCTGAGCCACCGAGTTCGTGACCCTCGAGAGACCGTAAACCGACCGAAGACAATTGGGTCCCCCTGGACAGAATTGAAAACGACCCTGTCCTCACCGAGTATCTGCGCAGCCGAAATTTTTGGGACGTACACACGCTTTCGTAGGGAGGGCCTCCTTAGGGGGGTGGGTAGTGTAAGGAAAGTTCCTTTTCCTTACTTCGCGTCCCTGCTCAGCGCGTACACCACTGTTCCCGCCAACAGCACCCAACAGTAATCCGTTACCACTCGTGACATTCGCCTTGACACTGTTCCCGCCACTGTTCACGACGCGACCCAACCTCACGGTTCGGTTGGTAACCCGCGCTTCGGACCTCCGCCCCGTCATTTCCCAACCTCGACTGTTGGGAAATGACGGGGCGGTCGCGCACCCCACTTTCACGCATTACCGTTACCACTATAGTTTTCGCTATATATTATTCATTCATGCCTTCGCTCATTGTACTCTTGCTTCAATAGTGCAATTCTCGTTCATTCACTCAATTGCACTCATAACACATACCCTTGCGTACTAGCAAATATGCATTTATCACTTGTGTCGTATGGAGTTATCGTGTACATGTAATATCTTATGTCGGGTACGCGGACCTGATACAAGTTTGACTGCAACTCTCTCATCTCGCCATTCGTATTGCCACGCGGGAAGCATCTATTGCCAACGACTGAACCCGGGGCGCTGAAGAGAGTGCTCAGAGCCGTGCAGCCAGCTGAGCATTCCCAAGGCGCCTAAATTCGCGCGGGAAGTTCCTTGGTGCGAGCATTGTACGCTTGACCAGCGCTCCGCACTGTGGTCCCAAGCTCAGCCCAGACCAGCACGCGCCACGCTGGGACTGGTGGTTTGGGGTTTGGCGCAGTCGGGCACGCAAAGCCTGCTTCGGGGGAACCGCGTGAAGCTGGCTGTCTCGGTTTGCCCGCCCGCCACCCAGCCCAACTGCTCGGTTTGCGAACTTTTGGACCTCGTGTTGTTCCTTGAACCTCGATTTCCCGAACCTCCGTGTCGTTTTCATTACCCAATCAAGTGGGTATGGTCCCCGACAGCGATCAGAAAGAACATTGCTTCTCGAGAACATCAGGCGTGTGTGGTGGCGGTGAGAGCGCGCTCAGGAGACTGGCAGTGAACCATTGAGCGTGTTCAATGGTTCTCAATGGTTCTGTACGTTCAAAAGCAGTGTAGTAGAACATAAACCGGTTTAGTAGACGCCAGTGATGGCAGAAAATTTAGGGAGATTGTGGTCACTCGTCATTAGGAGCTGACTATCTGTGAGAGCTTCTGTTGAAGGACGTCTTGTTCCTTGCTTTCGATAGTGTCATTTAATTCTATTGCCTCACGCATGCTGTAGCGTGTTGCTGTTGCTGGCCTCTTTCAGAAGGCAACTAGTTGGCGGTAGTCGCTTTACACGTGAATGTTGTATCCACTAGCTGTGGTTTGAAAGAACACTCGATTGATCGCAATCCAGTTACTATTCGAGCCGAACTAAGCGAAGCCACCGCTGCGCGGCTTCCCTTGTGCCAACTTTTCCCCTTCTGCAGTGTCCTTAGAAATGTCTCAGTGCCTCCTACATTCATTGTGAACTTAGAAGCTACTGTAGTCTAATCCTCTAGTTATTTGTCGCAATTTAAATCAAGGACGCAATGAAGCCGGAAAGATCGCTGTCTTGCGATTGGCTGTCGTGCTCACTGGGGTGGGTATGGAACCATCCGCGAATGAAGAATTTCCGCAAGGTCGCCTACAACTTCAAGATGACGCTCGTCTGCGGCTTCATCACCTTCCTCGTCTTCCGCGGCACCTTCGGCGCCGGCAAGTTCGGCACGCCGTTTCAGGATGCCGAGATTCTCAACCGCGAGCTCCGGTCCTTCCAGGAGAAGGGCCTCCTCAAGGTTCGTAGCGGTTCGTATCGGTCGTGTGACTTAGTAACGAGCTGACTTTAGAGTCGATTCAAAAGTTCAGGACGCCGAGATACTCAACCACGAGTTCCGATTCTTCCAAGAAAAAGGCCTCCTCAAGGTTCATATCGGTCGTATCGCAACTATCGCGAAGCGAGTGCTTAGTTAGCTGTCCGGGATCCCGTGAAGCGCGTTTTGAAAATACACGATCGCGAGATCCGTTGAGAAGGTTTTGAGATCCGTGTTAGGAATACGATGTCGCATGGTGCGTGTGGAGACGCGGCGTTGATGGATGGCTACGACGGTGTGCTGACATTTCATGGATCGACGGGTACGACTAGGCAGTTAACATTCATGATTCGACAGCCACGATTTTGCGTATGCCTTTCGCGGAACAACAGATGATTAGGATCGGTTCCGTTCTTCGCGTCGCGCATTTATCCTAATAGAACAATCGCACCGCCGATCGACTGACGGCTTTCGTCAGATCGCTTACTCTGGTCGTTACCGATGCAATCATGTACAGATGCAATCACGTACATCCATTCTGCGATTGGATAACGGCAATAGCCAATTTTATGTCTAATGTTCAAATAAATGATCTGGGATTTAATTACTATGGGACAGTAGCAGCCTCTCGTATCGCGCCTTATGTTTTTCTCCCGGAGCAGTAGCAGCCTTTCCCATTCTGACGCGTCAGTTCCCTCACCCCTCTCCGCTTATAGTGCCCAGTAGAAACTGCCGCTGCATAGCCCACAGTATACTTGAACCTCGTGTTTTCACGAACGGATTCGTTCTTCTAGGCAGATTTTGCAATCTTACCGCTCGTCAAATCGCCAGTGCACTCTGTCAAGCTTGATAACCGAACCGTTGGGCGAATGAAAATCATCTGAGTCTCTTCGTGCTTTCCGGCGCTGCCAGTCACGGGAATAGATGCGCGCTTTCACGACTAGTGGTCCTTTCTTCCCTGATCCACCCGTCACTTGCTTGCGATTCCTTCCTTCCTCTGGTCACTCTTTGCCAATCCCTCCGTCTCTCGTTTGTCTCCGCCCCCTCTCCCGTTCCCGCGTTAGATTCTCTGCCCTGCTGCACTGAATTTTCCGAGTCGTCTCAAATATCCATCTCCCCTGTCCCCGCTGCCACGTGGCAGTCGCGGGAGAGCCAGCTGCTCTTCCTGCAGGACAAGTTGGTGGACCGAAACTCGCCGTACCGCGTCGGGCCCAACATCACAGGTACGACCGATACTGCCGGCTGGCTCCTGCTGCGCTCGTTGAGACTCTGTCGTTGCTGCACTTCCCGTCCCGCCAGTTCTTGCCCCCATCCTCCTATTCTCCGTCGATAACCCGCCACGCTCTTCCCAAACCCCGCTCCCGTTCCGCTTGCCCCTTCCCTCTTCCCCCTCTGCTTCCCACCGCCTTCTTCCCCCATGCGCCGAGCTCATACCGCTCTCTCACTCCGCCGCAACCCACTATGATCTCCCTCCCTCCTTTCCCCCCCGTTCCCCCTTCCTGTCCCCCTCCTCCCCTTCTGTCCGCGCTTCTCCCCTCCCCCCCACTCACAGACTGGGACGAGCAGCGCGCGGAGCACATAGCCTTGAATCCCGGGTGCAACTCCACCAATGACGGGCGGCCACGTGTCATGATCGTGTCGACTTCCCAGCCGAAGCCGTGCGAGCACAGCGTGGGCGACCATTTCCAGCTCTTGTTCCTTAAATCGAAGCTGGACTATGCGCGTACGCACGGCATGGTGGTATACCACCACATGGTCCGGCTGGACAAGGAGATGAACGGCATGTGGGAGAAGCTGCCGCTGCTGCGCCGGCTCATGCTCGCGCACCCCGATATAGAGTGGTTCTGGTGGATCGACTCGGACTCCATTATAACGGGTACGGTGGGTCGTGGGCGGCAAGGGAACGGGTTGGCGGGAGGGGGAGGGAGTGGGGAAGCGGGTAGAGGGAGTTTCCGAAAGTGAGAGGGAAGGGAATGGAGGGAGTTTCCGGGAAACAGGCGCTTTGCGGGCTACCAGGAAAGGGTGACACGGCGATGCAGACGTGCGCGCAAAGAGACTTCAAGTTTGAGGTGCCATGCGCATGCGCAAGGACATGAGCAAAACATCGCTTCCGCTGACCTCATTCCTCCCGCCAATCCCTCCCGTTGCCTCTCCTTCTCCCTTACCCCCACTCTCTCCTCCTCCACCCCCACCCCCTCCCCCTCCCCCTCCCCCTCCCTCTCGCCCTCGCCCTCGCCCTCCCTTCCCCCTCCCCCCTGTGCGCGCAGACATGAAGTTCGAGCTGCCGTGGCGCAAGTACAAGGATGTGAGCATGGTGGTGCCGGGGTGGGACGACCTCGTGTACAAGCACCGCGACTGGTGAGCGAAGGAAGTGGCAGAGAGAGCGGAGGATGGGTGCGCGCAAAAATTGGTGCGCGCAGAGTAGCGGAGTAAGGAGAGAGAGCGGGGGAGTTCGTTGCGGTTTCCACTAGGCGGCTTTATCGTTCGCTCATATGTAACCTCTCACCCTCCTCGCATTGCCCCTGCCTGTGCCCCCCTCCACCTTCCCCCGTCCCCCCGTACCACAGGGTGGGCCTCAGCACCGGAAGCTTCCTCCTGCGCAACAACCAGGTGAGCGCCCCCCCTTCTGCCCCTCGCCCTGCATATCCCTCTCACCTTGCCCTGCCGCTCCCCCTCCGTTTCCCCTGCTACTCCCGTTTCTGCGGCCTGTTACTCACTGGAAAGAGCAGCTCACGATGCAGCTCACGATGCAGCTCACGATGCAGCTCGCGATTCAGCTCGCGATGCAGCTCGCGATGCAGCTCGCGAAGCAGCTCGCGATGCAGCTCACGATGCAGCTCGCGATGCAGCTCACGATGTCTTTGTGTCTCACGTCATCGCGAGCTGCTCTTTGCTTATATCGCGCTCATCTTATGCTCTCATCTACTTCTCTTTCGCCCTCTCCCCCTACTCTCTCCCCTCCTGTGCAGTGGTCTCTTGATCTGCTCGCCAAGTGGGCCGCCATGGGCGCAATTCCCCCTGCATCACCCCCGCCATCTCCCCCTCCCCGCCCTCCCCTTTCCCCCGTTCTCCCCCTTCCACCCTTTCCCCCCCTGCAGTGGTCGCTGGATCTGCTCGCCAAATGGGCCGCCATGGGCGCGAGGGGCAGAGCCAGGGAGGAGGCGGGCAGAGTGCTGACGGCGCAGCTCAAGGTGAGCTTCTAAGGCGGGTGGCACAGTGCACGTATGTGATGCTCGGGGTGCGTTGAGGCGAGAGTTGAGGGCGCAGTGTTCTACTCATCTCTCTCATCTCTGTCATCTCTCTCTCATCTCTCTCACATCTCTCTTTCTCATCGCTATCTTCTCTCCCAATGTCGGCCTGAGTTTGAGGCAGATGATCAGTCAGTACTGGTGTGGCTGCTGGTGTGCCAACACAGTGTTCTCCTCCCTTACCCATGCCCTCTCCCTCTCTTATCTCCCCCTTCACCTCTCCCAGGCCGGCCTGAATTTGAGGCAGACGATCAGTCGGCGCTGGTGTTGTTGCCGCTGTGCCAGCAACAGTTTCTTCTCTTACCCCATGCCCTCTCTCTCATCTCTCATCTCTCTCATCTCTCTCATCTCTCTCTTCCACCTCTCCCAGGGCCGGCCAGAGTTTGAGGCGGACGATCAGTCGGCGCTGGTGTGGCTGCTGGTGAGCGGGAGGGAGCGGTGGGGCAGGCACGTGCACCTGGAGAGCAAGTTCTACCTGCACGGCTACTGGGTCAACCTGGTCAACAGGTGCGTTGACCTGGTCAACAGGGGGTCAACGGGGTCAATAGGGTGAGCGGGAGGGAGCGGTGGGGCAGCCAAGTGCACCTGGAGAGCAAGTTCTACCTGCACGGCTACTGGGTCAACCTGGTCAACAGGTGCGTTGGCAGCATGGGGTGGAAGGAGGGGGGGGTCGCCATGTTCCGTTTGTTTCTCCTCACCCGCTCTCCTTTCCCTTTGTCGTTCCTCCCCTTCCCCAGGTTCGAGGAGATGATGGAGCGGTTCCATGCTGGTTTCGGCGATGACCGGTGGCCGTTCCATCTCTCTTATTCCTCCACTCGTTATACTCATTTCCGCCTTCGCAAATCCCCTCGTCTCTCCCCCAGTTCGAGGAGATGATGGAGCGGTTCCATGCTGGCTTCGGCGACGACCGGTGGCCGTTCAACTTCTCGTTTTCATCCACCCATCACCCTTGTCTCCCCTCTTGCCCTTGATTCTCTCTCCCCCAGGTTTGAGGAGATGATGGAGCGGTTCCATGCCGGCTTCGGTGACGACCGGTGGCCGTTTGTGACTCACTTCGTGGGGTGCAAGCCGTGCGGCAGCATGGGCGAATACGACGCTGCCAAGTGTCTCGTGCACATGAAGCGCGCCGCTGTATTCGCTGACAACCAGGTGATAAAACCGTACGGATTCACTCACCTGCACCTGAACAGCAGCGTTGTCGTTCCGCTGGTGAATGTGACGACCCGGGCGTGGATAGCTGAGACGCACTATGAGAGGAAGCAGCAGCAGGTTGCTGAGAAGAGGAAGAAGCAGGCTGAGGAGAAGGAGAGGTTGGAGCAGGAGGCGAAGAGAATGGCTGAGGAGCAGGAAAAGTGGAGGGAAGAGGAGGAGACGAGGAGGAAGGAGGAGGAGGCGTGGCGGGAGAAGGAGGACGAGAGGCAGAGGAAGATTGAGGAGGGCAAGAGAATCGAGGAGGCAAAGATGGCAGCGGAGAGAGAAGCAAAGAAGAAGAAGCAGCAGGAGGGGCAGGAGCGGAAGGAGGGGAAGGCTCGGAAGGTTGCAGTGGGAGGGGCGGGACAAGGGAAGAACGGTGCAAAGGGAGCGGCTGCTGTTACTGTGAAGAATGTGACTGTACCGATTGGGAAGAAGGGTATTCCGGAGATTATAGTGGATGAGGATGAGGAGGAGGAGGAGGATGAGGAGGAGGAGAGTGTGCAGGACAGGAGGAAGATTGGGCTGACTAAGGCTGTTATGAGGCAGCAGCGAGCTGCTATGGCCCGCGCTGTGGTTGCTGCTAGCGCTGAGGACGAGGAGGAACGGGAGGAGGAGGAGAGAGGGGGTGTGGAGAAGGGGGATGAGAAGGGGAGTGAGAAGGGGAGTGGGGAGGGGAGTGAGGAGGAGAGTGAGGAGAGTGGAAGGGAGAAGGGGTTGGGGGTAGCAGGTGCTGGGAGGAAACCGGAGAAGGATGAGGAGGGTGAGGATGAGGAGGAGGCGGAAGAGGAGAGGTTGGACAGGGAGAGGGAGAGGAGAACGAGTGTGAAGCTTGATGCTAGTGATGAGACTAGTGCAGCAAAGGAGGGTAGTGAGGAGAATGAGGAGGGAGATGAGAAGGGACGTAGTGAGAAGGGTGTTGGTTTGAGATCAGTGCTTGAGGATAGGGAGGAGGCACAGGAGGGAGATGGTGCAACAGCAGAGGAAGCAGAGAAGGTGGGATTGAGCAATGAGGAGGAGAGGGGTGGTTTGAGAGGTGAGGATGAAGGAGAGGAGAGGGGAGGTGAGGAGGTTGATGATGTGGAGTGATATGCCGATTGCGTGACCTGTGAAGTTGGATGTGTGATGTGAGCGGTGCTTGATAGCTCGCCTGCCGCAGAGCAAGTAGATGCTTAGTCAGGGGCAGTAGGCAGCAGGCCACAGCCCAGCAGCGCAAGGCCTCAGGTGGAAGGTTGACTGTTGCTGTGTAGAGGTAGGAGATTAGCGTAGTGTTTTGCCCTACCAAGCACCAATGCGACAAAAGTGGATGTTGCCTCTGTTTCGCTGATAATAAACATGTAGAGGTATTTATTTGCGCTTTATATTTATATTTAGCCGAAGCCTGCTGTGATGGCCATCTTGATGAAGTTGGACACAAAAAACTACCATTCAGTGCGGCTGTGGTGGTGGTGCTGTGATGGTCGCCTTTTATTGGAGGAATGGAGATTCAAGCACACACCTCGAGAAGTTGTCCATTTATCGGATGGTTTGCGGATATCATTGAGGACATTTTCCTATGCGTGAAATCTTATAACGAGAGTGGCTTTCTGCCGGTCACGATCCTCCTGATCTGTCTTTCGAGCACAGCTTTGACTGGTGCTTGCGTGTTTGTGACGTGGAAGTGATGGGTTGGTCTGAGATAGACAGCCGCAGAAGGAGATTCTTGATTCTAAATTAGCGGTAGAATCTTCATGTTGAGGCAGCCACTTCTTTGCCGTGTCACACCACCTTCGACGGCGGGTGCTAGCTCCAAGTATCTTGGAGTCCAGTCTCACCGTCTATGTAGAAAAGTGCTTGTGCGTGCCCAGCAAATGTGGAATTTTGGCCGATTGGTGCAAGTGTACACGAGAATGAGTTTGCGCAATCGTTTGTTGTTCCTGCTGGGTTCTTGTTTGCAATCAAGACCTCAGATCAAGATGCCCCGAAATGTTTTAAAGTTAACGATGAAACTGCATGCTGCTTTTCCAGGCGTGCAGATGTCTTTTATCAGCCGTTCACTGTTGGTCTCACGTTCAACCGTATTGGTCGACCGTACGTGACCTGGGCATGCCTCCTGTAAATGAGCGGACTGGATGCATTCGAGGTCACAGCCACCCCTGACCATTCACTTTAGATAATAAATTCACTACCAAACAAAATGAACAGCTTTCTTGTGAAATTTGTGGCTGGAATGTGGATTCGATCACCAGCATGCAGCAAGGACCTTTTGCGCCTCGAAAGCTTGAGGCCGTCGAAATGTCTATCCTTGGAGCACAAGATTCGCCCTGCCCCCACCACTAATTCCACCTCAGGAAGCTCGTCTGCCATGCTCTCTGCCGTCGATACACCATGAGAGACTCCGTCCGACATAAAAGCATTCTTCCGCGGTTCGGTTCTGGGCTGCAGCAGCCTGCCCAGATATCGATTTTCGCATTGTGGCTGCCAACGTTCCACCGCGCCTCTCACCCACATGGCTTCAATGTCCTGTCCTGGGTAACTTGCCCACCAGGAGTCGGTTCACGAGTGCCCTGAAAAATGTCCAGGCGTTGTTCACGTGATGTGAAGGTATGCTCCCGATACGGTTCAATAGTGAAGGTGGGACTGATGGTGTAGAGTTCAGTCCTGGTTTAAAAAAATCAGTTGACGCTGAGCTAAAAGTCGATTCCCATTCGCCCGTTGATATCCTCGACTTGTGCGGCCACCATCAACTCAAAGCTGCTGACTCCGCGGACCTTTGGGCGACCTCTACCTTCCACACAATATGCCACACTCGTTCCCGCCCCATTCTATCTCACCCTATCGCCAATCCCATCTTATCTCTCATCACCCCGCGTTCTATCCTGTAACCTGTGGTGGTACCTCGGCCATATGCGATTCCATTGAACGGTTACCATTGGAAGCAAGCTGGCTGGACTCTGTGTACCCAATCTCACTGTCGTTCCAAGCATGGCTAGCCGCACCACCTACCCCTCCACGTCGCCTCGCCCAACCCAGCCCAGAGAACTCACTCACTGAACCGCCAGCTCGTTCCTTCGTTCTTTCAATCGTTCACGAATCACCAACGACCTCTTTCCGCTTATAAGTATCACTCTCCTGCCATTAACCAGTTGATTTCTAGCATAGTTCCTCAGTTGTTTGTCAACCACCCTCACAACGGCCTTTTTCACGTGATTGATAACCGCTTACTCAACTGACTATCATAGTAACGCATAGGCTAGTTTATTTCCTCGCAATAGCGTTTCGCCTCGCTTGTGCCGCGCAGCAACCATGCCGAAGCCGTGCGAAGCGTGTCAATTGAGCGCGGCTTTAATCTTCTGCAGAGCCGACTCGGCGTATCTCTGTCTAGCGTGCGACGGCAAGGTGCATGGCGCGAACAAGCTCGCCTCTCGCCACGAGCGAGTGTGGGTCTGCGAAGTTTGCGAAATGTCGCCGGCCGCGGTAACCTGCAAAGCCGACGCTGCGGCTCTTTGTGCGACGTGCGACGCCGACATTCACGAGGCGAACCCACTCGCGAATCGCCACGAGCGCGTTCCCGTCGTCCCGTTCTACGAGTGCCCTTCGTCGATCAAAAACTGTAAACCGGCCTGCGTACAGCCCGCCGCGTTCCTCGGCGCAAATGACGCCGCAGAGTTCGCGTCGCCTTCTGAGGAGCACGAGGAGCTCATTTCGAGTCAAGGACAGGCGCTGCCGCAACCAACGGCGGCAAACGCGGCCGTCTCAAGGAGAGGACTGGAGGAGGAGGTAGAGGAAGAAGAGGAGGAGGAAGAGGAAGAGGAGAGGCCGAACACGGAGGCGGGTGGTCGAAACGCTAATTGGCTCTACCCCCTCCACTCCCACCTCTACCCTCACCACTCAGCCGCTTCTGCTGCACCGCGAATGCTCCCGCCGCACATGCCGCCGCACATGCCGCCGTATATGGCGCCGTATATGGCGCAGCATATGCAAATGGCTGGCTCTGTTCCTCCGCGGCCGATGGTACCGTCGCCTTACTTCCCCTACGCGCACCTCCCGCCGCACATGCAGCCGCAAATGCCGCTCCACATGCCACCGCACATGTCGCCGCACATGCCGCCGCATTATCCGGCCTCCCCGCATGTCCCCTCGACGCTTCCCCTCCACCGTCCGACACACGTTGCGCAACCTCCGGCTACTAAATATCCCAAAACGGAGTTCGCTGACGTTTCAGATCTCCTGTTTGACGTGGATCCGTTCCTCGACCTCCAGCAGTACGGCGGCGGCGACCGCAGCGCGACGCCCGTCGATGGGAAACTTGCCTCGGCGAAACCGCCAATGCAATATGCGGCCCTTTCGGCGGCGGCAAAGAAAACGGTGAAAGAGAGCATGGTGGTGCCAGTGCAATCCCAAGACGAAGGCGCTTCGGCAGTGGCTGGCCGGCGGGAATGCTCCCCTTCCCTCTACTCCTCCCCGTCATTCTCCGTCTCCTCTCAAACCGACACGCACCTCGTTCCTAGCAGCAGGCAGGCCGCCGACTCCGCCGCAACCGCCGCCGCGTTCGACGCCAGTGCCACGTCGTCATCCCGCGCGGGTCACCCCGCAGCGGAAAGCCCCGTCGTTCTGCGCGCCTCCTCGTCCCTTCCCTCCGCGTCGTCGTCGCTCCCCTCCGCTTCCCCCTTCTCCCCGTCGACGTTCTCAAGCCCCGGCCCTCTCCACCCGCTTGCGCGCGAGGCGCGCGTGATGCGGTACAGGGAGAAGCGCAAGGCACGGCGGTTCGAGAAGACGATCCGCTACGCGTCGCGGAAGGCGTACGCGGAGAGCCGCCCGCGCGTGAAAGGGCGATTCGCGAAGCGGACCGAGATGGCAGAGGGCGGCGCGGGCTCACCTGCTGCTTTCGAAGTAGCAGTCAACGCAGTCAACGGGGTCAACGGAGTGGATGCGTGTGGGAGCTATGAGGACGTGGAAGGGGAGCAGTTTAAAATGGAGGAGGGGGTCGCGTGCGACCTTGACTTTGCACTCGCTGACGCTCCCTTCACTATGATCCCCGCTTTCCTTTGAAGAATCTGGTAACGTTGGCTGGCTTGCGAGTGCGACTGGCTTGGAGTTTACCAGTGCAGTTTATCCGTGCTGCATCCACCGCAAGGTGCATCGTGATTGGATATGGTATGGCTGGACTGGAAGGTGCTTGAAACTATTTTTCCCCACCCATACTGTTTGAAACTGAAGGAGTGGGGCTAGACTAACCTTATGTTTTGCCATTTGGTTTTAGCCTAAGGGCTCTAGGTGCTGTTCATAATAAGCTGTACACTGTTTATCGTTCATGTGGTATACTTCAATGTACTAACCAGAACGTGAGAAGTTGCACCCTAGTCCAAACAGCAAGATGGTGTAATTGTTTATGGAGTGCAGCCAGCAAGCAGGACGCTGCCATCCCTCCCTCCACCCTCTGCACTGGCCATCACCAGACGGGCCTTGCACCAGACGGGCCTTGCACCAGACGGGCCTTGCACCAGACGGGCCTTGCACCAGACGGGCCTTGCACCAGACGGGCCTTGCACCAGACGGGCCTTGCACCAGACGGGCCTTGCACCAGGCGGGCCTTGCACCAGACGGGCCTTGCACCAGACGGGCCTTGCACCAGACGGGCCTTGCACCAGACGGGCCTTGCACCAGACGGGCCTTGCACCAGACGGGCCTTGCACCAGACGGGCCTTGCACCAGACGGGCCTTGCACCAGACGGGCCTTGCGCCAGACGGGCCTTGCACCAGACGGGCCTTGCACCAGACGGGCCTTGCACCAGACGGGCCTTGCACCAGACGATGCTGGTATGTACCCGTATGCAGCCTCCTAGGCAGGACAATGCTGTCCCTTCCCCCATTCAGTCCGCTGGCTGGCCTGCACCAGATGGGCATTGTGTTACGAATAGTAATACTTTAATGTTACTGTGCACTCCTCACCGCAGCAAAGAGAAGCACGCAGTATCGCGAATGAATGCGAAGCGTCAGACGATTGGAAATGACCCGAAGCGTCAGACAGTTGGGACGCATCTGAACCGTCGGTGCAGACAGCATCAGGCAGCTGGAGGCAGGATGGTTTCGGCGGGAACAGTTTCGTAACTGTTCGCACAGTTGGGAATGTATTTGAATGTACCCCTAAGAGTACATGGCTAGCTAGGTCGATTCATCTTCCCCTGTACTCTTATTTATATCGTCGTATCTGCATGTCTTAACCATCTCAAGCATTTACATTCACTCTGCTATTGAGGTCAAGGGCCTTCCTGAGTAGATCCTAGGCCACGATCAACTTCTGATCTCAGCATGGTATGAGAGCGACTCAAGAATCCTTCGCATCGCCATCCCCGAAATCTGCGACATTCGGAAAGTGGCGTCCGGCACACGATCACGTGTAAGAATGGCCGGAGGATCTGGAGGTCAGACGAATCTGACGGCTGAAGCGCAGCCCAACCCGACTGCGACAAACGAGGAAATGACGACGATTCCTTCCGCCGTCCTCGCACAACTGCTTCAGCGACTCACGAGCCTGGAGCAAGGGCTCCAGACATTACGGAATGGCGATGCGGGAACTTCTTCCCAACCCACTCAACCGGCCCCAAACGGCCAAAACTCCGCCCCACAAGGCTTCTCCCTAGATACGAACGGCTCAACCCCCAAGACTCCTTGTCCCAGCGATGAAGCAATTCTCTTCGCGCAATCAAGGTTTTTGAGCATATAAAAAATAAAGACAAGTGTGTGCTTTGACGGCAGAGACTTTTACACCTGGAGCTTCGACCTCGAGCTGCTGCTGCAAAACGCGCAGATTTCTCATTATTTCGACGGGAGCTACTCAGTGTTGGGCTGAAAAAGCCCTTAGGATCTTTGCAGAGTGAATTCTGGGTAGAGTTGATGTAGTAGCGGAAGCGTCTTAATAAGGAGTTTGTGAACCACCTTGCGCTAGTATGTGAGGGCAAAGTGAATTGATTAAAGCAAAGAGATATTAGATTATATAAGAGTACAAGGAATATGAAAGGATACGGTTATAACTGTTTTACTTGTTGCTGTTGCGGTTCGATACAGTGACGACTCGGGCAATTGCTCTGTAACGAGTCAGTTGTGTGTCCTTGCTGTCACGCTGTATTTGTCAGGTCAAAGGTCGCTGACCTTTGACTTTTGCGTAACCTCCAGCAGTTACTTCAACCTCCGAGGGTTGACTCGCTGGTGCCTCGATATGCTCTGCTTCGTTTGTGCCTTAGTGTTTCGACACGACAGAGGCGCTTAGGAACTATTGTTTCCAACACTCCCCTTCGCTTCTGGAGTGTCGCTGACGTGGCTCTGTCCAGTCAGCAGCATGCAATATTCGAACTTCTGTTTTCCGAGCTTCTTGGTCAGGTAATTAGCTGCCATCTCGAACGTGGGGCAGTATGACAGCTCAAGCCTTCCTTTGTCGATCTCGTCCTTCACGAATAAATATCAGTAGGGCGATGTGTTTCGTTCTGTTCGCGAAGCCGTTCTTGTTGGCGATGCGAATTGCCGACTGGTTGTTGCAGAACAGGGTGAAGTTGTGTAACTCGGCTAACTTCGCTTCTTCCAGTAGCTCGCGAAGATAGAGTCCTTCCTTGGTGGCTGAGCAGAGTGCAATATATTCTGCTTCAGCGGACGAGAGAGCAATTAGTTCTTGCTTGCTCGATTGCCAGGAGATAGGCCCGATAGGCTCGAGACGGTAGATGTAGCCGGTGCGTGATCGCCTGTTGTCGGAGTCGCCTGCGTTATCTGCGTCGACGTAGCTGATTAGCTTAGGCGTTGTAGTTGCGTTCTTATGATAAGTCAGTCCGACCGTCGGGGTACTGACAAGGTAGTGAAGAGCGCGGTCGAGCTCCGCCAGATGTTCCGCTTCAGGCCTCTTGAGGTAGGTGGCGAGCTGGCTTGCAGAGTAGGATAGATCTGGACGGCAGGTGACAGCTGCGAAGAGAAGGCAGCCCAGCTTTCTCTGGTAGTCGCGGATGCCGGCGGGCTTGAGTAGAGCGGAGCCTTCCTTGTTGCTTACTGTCGTATAGCGGTACGGTGTGGAGATAGCTGTTGGTGTGAGTGCGAAAACGCTTGGCGATGGTGTCGGCGTATTTCGTGGCGCTGAGGTAGATAGCGTCTTCTTCTTCTCGGATGTTGAGGCCGAGGTACTGTGTGACGGTAGATGAGACTGTGAGTGTGTGGTCTTGTTGTAACTCCCCTTCGAACCAGGTTGTAATACCTTCGGTTGAGCCAATGTAGAGTAGGTCGTCTACGTAGACGATTAGCAGGACGTAGTCGGTACCCTTCGAGAGCCGGTACATGCCCTGGTCGTGCGGTAGTTTCTTGAAGCCGATGCGAATGAGGCGAGCGTGTAGGTATTGTTGCCATAGTTGCGGGGCTTCCTTGATGCCGTAGAGTGACTTGAGTAGTTGACAGACGTGTTTCGAGTCCGTGCTGGAGCCGTGTGGTAGCTCGACGAAGATCTCGGCGTCGACGGGTGCGTAGGGGAATGCATTAGCGACGTCGATTTGCCTTAGCTTCTTCTTCTTCATGGCGGCGATCGCGAGAAGGATGCGTAGTGAGGTGTGTCGCCTAACTGGAGCGAATGTTTCGGTGAAGTCGCGGCCGTGCTCTTGGTCGAAGCCACGAACGACCCAGCGTGCTTTGAATTGGTCGATGGTGCCATCGGCCTTTGTCTTCACACGGAAGACCCATTTTCCGGTGAGTACTGTCTTGTTCCGTGCCACACCGATAGGAACCACCTTCCACGTATTGCGTTCCTCCAGTGCCATCAGCTCCTTGTCCATGGCTTCGCGCCATTTTTCTTTATGTTGGCCCCCCAGAGCCTGCTGAAACGTCGCAGGCTCTTTAGGAGTGACAGGAGCCGCGGACTGCGGTGACGAGCCCGAGGATCTGCAGTCCACTCTGTGAGTAGCGGGGAAGATTTACATCCTCGGGATAAGCTGTTTGTCTCCCGTTTCTGGATCAGGTATGAAATTTGGTCCTACTCGTTCTGTTTCGTTGGTGTTGACTGTCACAGGTATTACGTAACCGTTGTCGGCGAAGTGGTAGAAGGTTTCGGCGTTGGCACTTTCGCGAGGGTTGTCTTCGTCCATGGGAACGTCGACGGAGCAGTACGGAAGAGGTCCGGCTTCTTCTGATGCATTATCCACATTCTGCTCGTCCCAATCTACTTCGTCCGCTGCTGAGGTGAAGGCTCGGTCACCACGAAGGCCACCTGTGGGGACTTCGTCTTCTTGCAAGTTGGCAAGGTACGTCTGGAGCGTGAGTCGTTCATAGAAAATTACGTCACGTGCTGCTACTGTTTCCTTTGAGTGGACGTCGAAGATTTTCCACGCGTTGTAGTTCTTTTTGATGCCCAGGTGTAGTCCCCACTGTGCTCGTTGAGAAAATCGGCCCACTCGTGCTGCTGGGGGTCGGTACTGTACCATGCACCCGAAAACTCGTAACATTTTTGTGCTGCCCTGTTTCCCTGTCCATAGCAGATGCGGTGATGCGTTGTTCGGAAGCGATGACGACGACAAGCAAATTGTGCAGCATGACAGCGTGGTCCATTGCTGCAGGCCATTGGTGGTTGGGTAGCCGCATGCCACGTAGCAGTTTGCGCATGGTGTTCTGCAGGGTCCTGTTCATTCTCTCTGCTACTCCTTGTTGCTGATGGGCGTAGGGAAGGGAGATGAGCTGCTTGATTCCCCTTTCCGCAAGGCACTGCTTCAACCACTGAGAGGTGTATTCTCCTCCTCCGTTTGACTGGAAGCTTTTCAGTTGTACGCCCGACTCTCTGCTACTGGTAGCCAGGCAACGAAGGCTGCGAATGCCATGTCGCGGCTGGGTAGGTTTAGGTGCCAGACGTAACGGGTGGCGGCGTCGATGAAGGTGATCGTGTAGTTGTATGTGACTTGTCCTGGTTACCCGATTGAACAGGATATCGCTTTACACCTTCTCGAGTGGTGTGTACGCGGGAGCGCTTGGGTTGTGATGTGACGCGAATGGTCGATGCGGTAAGTCGCCTTCAGGGCAGGTGAAACACGTTCCTCGCGCTCGTTGAAGTTCTCGTCCATCAGTTAGTAGGAGTGAGTCCTTCTCAAGTACTCCTGCTCTTATTGTATTGTTTAATACTGTGTTGCTTGGGTGTCCCAACCGTGCGTGCCAGGTGCTTTCGTTGGCGCGATGTCCGGGTGATCATCGGTACATGTCGGAGTTGGAGTAGAAGCTGGCGGTGAAGTTGGTGCTGCGATGAACTTCTCGTGGTGTTGGGTGCAGTTGTTGCGCTGGTGTTGGTGGTGTGTCGTCGATGAGGAGTGGTGTCGTTGAAGGACCAGCAACTGGTGTTGACGTTCCTGCTGCTGCCGTTGATGGTTCTGCTGCTGTCGATGTTGTCTCTGCTGCTGCCGATGTTGTCTCTGCTGCTGCCGATGTTGTCTCTGCTGCTGCCGATGTTGTTTGGATTGTTGCTAACGCCCTTGTTCTTTCTGCTTCAGGGATGGTGTGTGAGTACCAGAAGCCTTCTGGACTGAAGTCTGAATCAAGGTCCGGAGGGTGTGTTTAGTCGGTGAAGTTGACGATGGCGTCGCTGTCGGCAGTGCCAAGGTCAGGGACGAAATCAAGAACGAAGAAGTTGTTCTTGAGGACCGCCCTGCTGATGTAGAGTCCTCCTCTCCCGTGATACAGCTTGAATTCTTGAGTGGTGCTGTCTACTTCGAGATGAATCCCCTTTGCCATCAGCTGGCTGACGCTCAGTAAGTTGTAGCCGAGTCCCTCCGCGATTAGTACCTTTGACATCTGTAGTACGACGTTTGTTTCCCTTGACTGAAGTTGAACTACGCCT